TGGAATATCTTTTTCCATCCCCTCACTTTCAGTCTGTATGTGTCCCTAGGTCTGAAGTGGGTCTCTTGTAGACAGCATATATATGGGTCTTGTTTTTGTATCCATTCAGCAAGCCTGTGTCTTTTGGTTGGAGCATTTAATCCATTCATGTTCAAGGTAATTATTGATATGTATGTTCCTATGACCATTTTCTTAAGTGTTTTGGGTTTGTTTTTGTAGGTCCTTTTCTTCTCTTGTGTTTCCCACTTAGAGAAGTTCCTTTAGCATTTGTTGTAGAGCTGGTTTGGTGGTGCTGAATTCTTGTAGCTTTTGCTTGTCTGTAAAGCTTTTGACTTCTCCATTGAATCTGAATGAGATCCTTTCCGGGTAGAGTAATCTTGGTTGTAGGTTCTTCCCTTTCATCACTTTAAGTATATCATGTCACTCCCTTCTGGCTTGTAGAGTTTCTGCTGAGAAATCAGCTGTTAACCTTATGGGAGTTCCCTTGTATGTTATTTGTCATTTTTCCCTTGCTGCTTTCAATAATTTTTCTTTGTCTTTAATTTTTGCCAATTTGATTATTATATGTCTCAGCGTGTTTCTCCTTGGGTTTATCCTGTAGGGGACTCTCTGTGCTTCCTGGACTTGGGTGGCTATTTCGTTTTCCACGTTAGGGAAGTTTTCGACTATAATCTCTTCAAATATTTTCTCTGGTCCTTTCTCTCTCTCTTCTCCTTCTGGGACTCCTATAATGCAAATGTTGTTGCATTAATGTTGTCCCAGAGGTCTCTTAGGCTGTCTTCATTTCTTTTCATTCTTTTTTCTTTATTCTGTTCCGCAGCAGTGAATTCCACCATTCTGTCTTCCAGGTCACTTATCCGTTCTTCTGCCTCAGTTATTCTGCTATTGATTCCTTCTAGTGTAGTTTTCATTTCGGTTATTGTATTATTCATCTCTGTTTGTTTGTTCTTTAATTCTTCTAGGTCTTTGTTAAACATTTCTTGCATCTTCTCGATCTCTGTCTCTATTCTTTTTCCGAGGTCCTGAATCATCTTCACTATCATTATTCTGAATTCTTTTTCTGGAAGGCTGCCTATCTCCACTTCATTTAGTTGTTTTTCTGGGGTTTTATCTTGTTCCTTCATCTGGTACATAGCCCTCTGCCTTTTCATCTTGTCTATCTTTCTGTGAATGTAGTTTTTGTTCCACAGGCTGCAGGATTGTAGTTCTTCTTGATTCTGCTGTCTTCCCTCTGATGGATGAGGCTATCTAAGAGGCTTGTGCAAGTTTCCTGATGGGAGGGACTGGTGTTCAGTAGAGCTGACTGTTTCTCTCTGGAATGTATCTTTTATACAGTCTTTTTTCCAAAACGAAGAGCCAATTTTCCCAATACCATTTATTAAAGTACCCATATGTTCCCACTGATTTTAAAGAGATTTATGTATATATAGGTTTTTAGTATGCTTTGAATTCCCTGGTAAATGTACATGTGTGTACACAGAAGTGCATGCATAATGTGCACGCACACAGGCATGCACACACACGCACGTACGCGCGCGCGCACACAGACACACACATACACACAAGAGTTTCTAAGCCTTATGTTCCATTCCACTGATATATATTTCTATGCCATTACAAGACTATTTTAATTCCTTTGATTTTTAAGTTTTGATGACTGAAAAAGCAATCAACTCTTTAACATTCTTTTATATCTTCTAAAAAATATTTCAAGAGGAAAAGTAAAAACAATATATCAGGTTCCCAAAATCCACTCCCTTCCAGAATTTTGAATGGAATGTAATTTTATGAAATCATTTTGGGTAAAAGCATCACTTAAAATACTAAATCTTCGTTCTGCTTCCAGTAATGGCAGGGTGGCTTATATTAGATAACCCTCCCACGGATAACAATTATAAACTCTGGACAAAATGCAAAATACATATTTAAAATATATTGGTAGGCACTGGAAACTGAAAAAAAAAGTAATGGGAAACTGGAGAAGGGTTGAAATTTGAAAAAAGAGAACAACTCTTGAAGGGACCTTAAGTTTATATGGCTAGTCACCTGGAAGTACTCCCCAGTACACTTGGTGCAGGGTGCCTAGAACTTAAACAGAAAGCCACAGTCTTATTGGCTTCAAAAGGAGCACAGAGTTCAAATCTGCCAGAGTACCTATAAGGTAATGGGGGAATTTTCAGATAGGAGAGAACCACATAGGAGGGAAACACCAAAATCAGTGTTAGAACTCCACTCAAGTTCTTGGCTGATTCATGAACTATGTGAGCACTGGGGAAACTCCAAAGAAAGCAGAGACAAGACAGAAGAAGTAATGGAACCAAGATTTCAGATGCTGCCCCCTACCAAAGAGTAAGAGTATGGGCTCTAAATCTAGTCAAGTCAAATGCTTCCCAGAGCAAGAATCAGCACTATTCTGAGAAAGAAAACAGAATCTAGAGTCTCTACAATGTATCACTATCTAGTGTACAATCAAAAAATTATTGACTTGATAACAGAAAAACATGACATATAGTTAGGAGAAAAAGCAGGCAATAGAAACTGACCCCAAGACAGCCCAGATGTTGAGATAATGTCTAATCTGAAGAAAACAATTTTTTTAAATGAACAGCAGCTCAGTGACCTATTGAACAAAATCAGGTGACTAACATGTAACTGGGGTCTCAGAAGGAGAAAAGTGAGAATGGAGCAGAAAAAAATACTTGAAGAAATAATAGCTACACATTTCTCAAAGCCATACTTAAGCACATCAGTCAATGTGCTAAGAATCAAAAATACAAGTCTTCAAAGCAGCCAGAAGAAATTACAAATTACAGACAAGGGAAAAATAATTAAAATAACAGCTGACTTATGATCAGAAACAACAGAGGTTATTATACAATGGATTGACAGTTTTAAAGGGGTAAAAGAAGAAAAGAAAAAGAAAACCTTGTAACTCGAGAATAACATACTGAGCAAAAACAGCCTTCAAAAATAAAGATGTGGGCTTCCCTGGTGGCGCGATGGTTGAGTGTCCGCCTGCTGATGCAGGGGACACGGGTTCGTGCCCCGGTCCAGGAAGATCCCACATGCCGTGGAACAGCTAGGCCCGTGAGCCATGGCCGCTGAGCCTGCACTCTGCAACGGGAGAGGCCACAACAGTGAGAGGCTCGCGTATCGCAAAAAAAAAATTAATAAAAATAAAGATGGGGCTTCCCTGGTGGCGCAGTGGTTAAGAGTCCACCTGCCGATGCAGGGGACACGGGTTCGTGCCCTGGTCCGGGAAGATCCCACATGCCGCGGAGCGGCTGGGCCCGTGAGCCATGGCCGCTGAGCCTGTGCTCCGCAACGGGAGAGGCCACAACAGTGAGAGGCCGGCGTACCGCAAAAAAATAAATAAATAAATAAAGATGTTTTCAGGTAAATGAAACAGTGAGAATTGCTGAAAGTAGACACACACTGTAAGAAATCTTAAAAGAAATGCTTCAGTCTGAAATTAGACAGGAATGAATGAAGAACACCCAAAATGGTAAATATATGGGTTAATAGTGAAGACCATGACATAAAATTGTTTAAAGCAAAAGGTAGATACCACTCTGTGGGGTGTGTAATATACATACGTGTACTATTGTAAGAATAGTATAAAAGACAACAGGTGGTAAATGAAACTATATTTTTGCAAAGTTCTTATACTTGTGCAATGGTACAATATTAACTCTAAGTTGACTATGATAAGTTAAGAAGGCTATTATAATCACTAGAGCAAACATTTAAAAAAATTAAAGAGGGCTATAGCTAAGAAAACAATGGAAGGGGGCTTCCCTGGTGGTGCAGTGGTTGAGAGTCTGCCTGCCGATGCAGGGGACACGGGTTCATGCCCCAGTCTGGGAAGATCCCACATGCCGCGGAGTGGCTGGGCCCGTGAGCCATGGCCTGCGCGTCCGGAGCCTGTGCTCCGCAACGGGAGAGGCTGCAACAGTGAGAGGCCTACGTACCACAAAAAAATTAAAAAGAAAATAAAAAAAAATAAAAGAAAACAATGGAAGGATTCCACTGGAATACATATACATATTTTTTTTTATTTAAAGCAAAAGAAGGCAGAAAAATAAGGGGGGCGGCGACAAATAAGGCAAAGGAAAAAAGCAAAATGGTACTCACAAGTGCAAACATATTAACTGTCACACTGAGTAAAGAAGCAAGACCCAATTAAGCATGTTTACAAAAAATGCAAATTAAATATAAAAACAAAGATAGGTTTAAAGTAAAAGAATATATGCCATGCAAATACTAATTATAAAAAAGCATGAGTAGCTTTATTAATATCAGACAAAACAGATTTCAAGACAAGGAATATTATAAGGAGTTATGTAGGAACATTTTACAATGATGAAAGATTAATTCATTAGGAAGATAAAACAATTAAAATATATATAAGCCCAATAACAGAGGTTCTAAAAATACAAAGCAAATACTGACAGAACTAAAGGGAGAAATGGATGACTCCAGAATCAAAGCTGAAGATTTTTAACTCTGTGAGTAAAGGATAGGACAACTAGGTAAAAATCAGTAAGGATATAGAAGATGTGAATGACACTATGGTCCACTTTAATTGAACATCTGAATCACTGCAGAACTTCATTGGAGCAGTGATGTTCTAGAGTCTGGACCAAAGACATACCTGTACATACCTGTCATTTTAAACTTATAAATTGTTTTTAGGAGAGAGAAACTAAGATTATCTAATCAGAAATTATGTAAGTACTTTTCTTTACAGCTATTTTTCTTTTAAAACTGCATTTAAACTTAAATTGTGTTGTCCTATGGCATTGAATACACCTCAGTATGCCAAAAATCAAGTGTACTTTTACCAACACCAAATTTTAAAAAACATAGTCATACTGACTGAGAACTTTGAAGTACAAAATGGTACATAGTACAAGAATCACTTAGAAACCACAAGAACGTGGTCAAAAAGGTACAAACCCTGTTAAAATATTTTTTATAAATCTTAATTTTTAACTTACTTATATATTTGGTAACTTGTTCTAATTTTGAGTCCACCTTTGATGAAGTTGATCATATTTTCATCCTGAAAACAATTACATAATTAGATCATTTAGCAAAAGATTCTTAAACTGTCCCCAGAGCTGTGTAGCTGCGTGATTAGAACAAAACACTATCTTTTGAGGATATCATTTTTAAACTAAACCATTCTTCTTGCTTTACATCTGAAATGCTTTTTTGTCATTTTTCTTCCAAGTTAGAGGACAACAAAAAGGAAACATTTCTTAAATCCTTGCATTACTTTAAGGACATAAGGAAGTAATCCTCATCAATTTGGGGCCATAAAGGTTAGTCCAAACGTACTTCAATAAACATCAGCAACTACTGAGCAACTTTCTTCTGGGTTCAATGGAATTCAAAATGGCTGACTTTAAGGATCTGCTCCAAGGACTTTCCTGTCTGTCTTACTCCAAGTAATGGGATTATGGTTCTTCTTTAGGGGGGACTTTAGCAGGCAGTCTATTTAACATTGTGAATTTCATTCATATACATTTCCAGACCACAAATAACTGCTTTGGATTCTAAATTTGTTGTCACTAATATGAAATACTGTTTAGGGGAAAAGAGATCACTTCTCTTTGCCTGATGGTCATCAACCATAAAACCGGGGCAGCTGGCCTAAATGAATGACCTTTTTAGGGTGAGCATTCTAGGATTCCAAGAGTCTCTTATTAAAGCATATCAAAGATGTTACTCTAATAGAAGGTGCTAATGGAGATAGTCCCATGCTTTTCTAGTCCGTTAATATCAGAAAGATGCTCTGGTATTGATTTCCTGTGCACTTGAGCATCCTTCTGAAACAAAAGAAGAACTAATTTTAGTTTGTTAATGTCATCAATTACTTAAATACTTAATATTTAAATTATTAAAAGAATCAATAAATGTAAAATTCACTATGCAATTTAAATGTTTATTTTCTGATTTTAAGGAATCTTATGGTTACACAAGTTCCAATACTGGCCAGGAAAGAATTTCTTCAATTGGATTCAAATCTGCCTCAAATAAGAATATTTCATTTCAGGATTCACCAAGCATTTGCTGAATGCCTATTTTACAGCAGGCACCCAAACACAAAATCAGACAAAAGCAACACAACTCGCTAAGGGATGGAGACGTGCATGGATGGAGACATGTGGGGGATGTCATGACAGCACAAAGGTGGGCGGGGATGTGAAGAGGTCCACAAAAGCCTCCTGGAAGCATCAATGCTTAAAGCACACACATACACACACACAAAAAAAAGATTGGGAAGTAACCAGTTGAAGGAAGGAAGACAAGGTAGGTATGAACTTTGCAAGCAAAAAAAAAAAAAAAAAAAAAAAAAAAAAACAACCCTCAGGGAAGCATTAAAGATCCTGGTGTGCTTGGCTTGGCCATCTGTGCTTATATAACTCAGCACTGCTGCAGAAACCTACTGCAAAAAAAGGGAATGACTAAGGAATAAGAAAGCTACCTGTGTTGTACCTGTGCCACTCAAGTATGCAACATACCTGCCAGTAACAGTTGAGGACATTGGTAAGAGGGGAGTAGGGAACTGGGGGGGGAGATACCAGTTTGGTTAGAAAAAGCCTTCCCCATTTGTGATATTCTGATACAGAACCACTGCCATAGTCAATGAGGGCTACTAAATGCTGAAGCAGAGACATGACCAGGTGAAATTCTCATCTTTGAGAGGGTGCACAATTGCACAATGGAGAGTGAGCTGGAGGGGAAGAGAAACTACAGACCGAAGGTCCCTGGGGTGCCATACAGTCTAGGGAAGAGCTGACAAGCCACCCACTAGAACAATTATAGTCAGAATAAAGAGGAAGAGACGGAGCTGATAAACCTTGGAAAGGTAAAAGCAGCACGACCACGAGCCTGGCTGGATACAGAGGCATGAGGAAGAGGGGAACCATGGATATCTCCCAGATGTTGAACTACAAGCCCCCCAGACATAAAAAACAAAAAACTTTCAAATCAATGATTTTATTATCAAATTATCATTTGAAAAACACATCAGAAAAAACTGGGGGCCTCCGTGACTAGCCTTATGTTTACTGAGGCAGTAAGACTGTGGTTTTCAACCAGCCTTCATAATAGGTGGGGTTTTAGGAAACAGGGCCCTACACCAGATTGACTTAATTTTACTTAACCAGAATCCAACCTAAGAGGTCACCCTCCAGAAAAAGAGAAAAGCAACTCTCAATTCAATGTAAATCATTGAGATTGAGGAAGATTTTCCATCTTACAGTTGAATTTCTGCCCCCTTACAATCTCCACCCCACTTCTACCCAACTTGTATCCATCACCACCACCTGTGTGGCCACCATGTTAAAATCCATATTTTTTAGAAGAACTGGAAGCTACAATGACAGGCAAGGTACTGGTGGTAACAATTCCTAGAGGTGAAATTTAAATGCCCCATGAGAAAAGGAGTCATTGTTTTGTTTAGTGACTTTTTTTAACTGCTCTTCCAAAATAAGAAATAAAAGAAAGGGGAATGAAAATACAAAGAGCGGGGAAATAAAATCTGAGGTATACATGGGAAGTCTGGCTCTCGATGCATGCATAACTAAGCTTTGCTGAAGCATCTGATGCAAGAAGGGAACAGCCAAGGATGCTGAAGCCTCCTGCAGCCTGTCACTCCTGTGTGCAGCCCTCCACCATTAGCAAGCACAAAGAGGGATAACCTCACAGTTCTCACACAGAGCAGCATCCTGAAATTAGGTGAGGTAATTGCAAGACAGCTTCTTCAAAAGGCAGCGGTTCCCAATAAAGCGAAGTTCGAAACAGAATTTTAAGTGCATTCGAGTAGGAAAAAAAAAAAAACCCAGGGTCTTCTTTCAGCCAAAGTTTATCAGTAATAACAAATATCTTTCACTACAACTCTAAGTCAAAGGAACTGAAGCACTGACATAGAATGAGCCACATTTCTTCTATGTTGTACTTGGCAGGCTTCCCGGGCGACGCTGATTCTAAGCCAAATGTTCATTACCTGCACAAACGTGAGGGCTGCTTTCTGTAGGAGGCACTCGGCATAACAGATTTCGGCATGCATTTCCTCTATTAAAAACAAATAAAAATATATTAAGGAAAATCCCATATCCACAGTAATTGCTCTGAGATGTTCAGAAAAGACAGGTAGATAAATGAGCCCAAGGGAGACAATAAAAACCTAGGTTGCTTTGGTGCTTCCATAAAAGTGGAATGATGACCTCAGTTCTCAGGCCCTGAGCAAGAATTTTCCAGAATGCATGAAATGCTTTGGGGAAGTTATCTTTGGCTCCATTCACATATAACTGCCAAGAGCCAGGCCCTTGGTGTCAAAGACCCAAACTCAGCTCACCAAAATGTAAAAACCAAAATGTAAACGCACTTCTTGGAAAAAAGGAAACCACTTATCTTTTAACTTAACAGGAACAGGCAAGTTTAACACAGTTATAGATTGGAAATCTAACTTAAATATACTAATCCTACCTTCTAAAACATGAAGGCATGATAGTCATGACAATGGTTTAGGCATGCTATTAACTTGAAGAGAAAGCAGTAATTCCCTAGGGTTCTAGGAAAAAGAACTGGCCTGCATACCCAACTCATGACTCCTCATTCAGGGATGACTTGATGTAAAAAAGTTCACACTAGCACAGTTTGGGGCTATTTGGATCATTGAGATATCTAGTGCAGGAACAAGGCACTCACAAAAGGGTTACATAAAACTATGTATGTATCCCCGGGACACGTGGAGTGCCCCAAAACACGTGGCCTATCCATGATACCTGCAGAGATTGGGGAGGGAGAAATCTTTGCATTTTCTTTCTTTTTTTTTTTTTTTGCATAAACAAAATCAGCAGATTCCCGTTTTATCCATGGGATGCAAACTGGTGTGTTATTTAAGTAAATGAGCTTTGGGGTATTTCACGGCCTAGGTGGCAGGGAAGGCCCTGTCACGTACTAGTTGTAGAACCTCGAGCAAGCTACCCTCCCTCTCTCTGCTGGTTTCCTTGTTCCTAAAGTTCAGCTAATGACATCTCTACTTCAGAGCTGAAGAATTCAACCAGGTGCTGCCTGTGAAGCTCACTGGGCAGAGTAAGCCCTCGATATCCATCAGCTACTTTCACTAAGATTACTGCCCTTGGTCCATGTCATGCTTTTTGCCAAAAGTTCAGAAAGTAGAACATCTTTATGTGATGTAAGTAACAGAAAAACGGGGTATCTCTGTGTTAATGGGAACATTGTTGAATCTAACTGGATAAGAACTAGTGCTTTATTCTTTCACTTACACACACAGGACCCCTCCTGACCACACACACACACACTCACATACACATACACACTGTCACACACACACACTCACACACACTACTAGTTCTCACAAACAGGTTCACCTTCCTGCCACGCTCATATTCCAAATGCTGATTTACAAAGAAGCAACAATGCAACTAAGATCTTCCCACAGCACGCATAAGATGAGGCCAGACGCACAACAGGCCAAAGTTGAGGAGCTGTGGCCCCTGCGCAGTCTGGCAGCATCAGCAGCCAGAGTCTCCGTCCTTCGCAACACCTCACCTCAAAGTGTGCCCCTGAATTTTCTCCGTGTGTTCAGTGGGAGAAAAACTGGTAACTTTTATTTTTACAGACTCACTTGAATATCCTCTTTCCAGGGAAACTTGTAACAAAGTGGGAATTGTTAGTAATCATTCACTTTGAAAGCCTGCTCAGTAACCCAGATGGCTGGCTTGGGGCGTGTGCCAAGAAGGCAGGGAAGCGGCTGCTGGGAGAGAAGCAACACGAGCAAAGGCAAGGAGCACGGAGCCCTGCGTGGCAAGTCCAGCGGTGCACCTTTGGCTGAAGCACGAGGTGTGTACAGGGACGAGAGGGCAATGAGCCTGGAAACGTAAGTCGGGGCTGAATTATGGACGACCTTGAATATCAGAGTCTGGGCTTCATTTGGTAGACAATGGTGAGTCCTTGCAGAGATCTGAGCAGAAGGGCAGATGGATCAGAGTTAAGCTAAAGATGGACAAGGCAAAGAGCAGCACAAACAACATAACAAGAAGCCAGAGATAAAAGGGAAGAAAGTTTGAATTCTGCATTCTGCGCGTAAGGAATCTTCGTATTAAATTCCTTGCACATCCTAAGCACTGTATATAAACGTTGGTTTTTAAAGGCAATTTGAAAGCCATTTAGGGCAATATGCCAGCCATGAGGAAGGAAGAATGGGTGTGTCCCATGTTAAACTCACAAAAAGTTTAATTAAATATCCTCACTCCTGCAGAAAACCAGCCATTCAAGGATGGAAATGGAAATTACCAAGAGGAAAAACAAAGTGCAGCCTAAATCCACAATGTTTTGACATGCTCCCTTGAACACAAAGTCTGTTTGGGTTGCAGCAACAGCCAAACTCATTAGGAATAAATGCAATTTAATTTATAAAAGTCTTATTTCTTCACTCTGATTGATTTATATTGGGCAGCCCTTAGCTCTCAAAATTAGACATTTGGCATTTACAAATAGGTACCTACCAGAACATCTTTTAATTATAAATTCCTCAGTTCACTGAAGGAAATATCTTCATTATGCACTGAAGTGCCAGCTAAGCATGCCTTCAGACATCAAAGTCTAAATAAACCTTATTTCAGAATAAATTTTCCCCTCAATTTTTCTGATTTATTTTCATAACTTTTAAATTAAGACCTTATTTTTTAAGAGCAGTTTTAGGTTCACAGAAAAATTGAGGGGAAGGTACAGAGATTTCCCATATATCCCTTTCCCCCAAAAACACGCATAACCTCTCCCATTATCAACATGCCCTCCAAAGTGGTACATCTGTTATAAGTGACAAACCTCCCCTGACACATCATAATTACCCAAAGTCCGCAGTTTACATTAGCGTTCACTCTTGGTGTTGCACATTCTGTGGGTTTGGACAAATGTATAATGACATGTATCTATCATTATGGTATCAGTATTTTTCACTGCCTTAAAAATTCTCTGTGTTCCGCCTATTAATCCCCAGGCAACCATTGACCTTTTTACTGTCTCCATAGTTTTGCCTTTCCCAGAATCTTATACGCTTGGAATCATACAGCAGGTTGCCTTTTCAGATTGGTGTCTTTCACTTAGGAATATGCATTTAAGGCTCCTACACATCTTTTCATGGCTTGATAGCTCATTTCTTTTTAGCACTGAATAATATTCCACTGTCTGGATGTACCACACTTTATTATTTATCCATTCACCTATTGAAGGACAAGTTCTGAATAAAGCTGCCATAAACATTCATTTGCATATTTTAGGGTTAACACAAGTTTTCAGCTCCTAGTTTTGTAAGAAACTACCATACTATCTTCCAAAGTGGCTGTACCATTTGCATTCCCACCAGCCATGAATGAGAGTTCCTGTTCCTCCACATCCTCACCAACATTTGGTGTTGTCAGTGTTCCAGATTTTGGACACTCTCATAGGTGTGTAGTGGTATCTCATTGCTGTTTATTTTTCAATACTTATAAATATGCCATACCCAAAGACAGAATAAAAAGATAAGAACAGTGCCATCTATTTTCAAGATGTCTAACATAGAAATAATTCAACATTTCCATCATCCATATGTGACACATTTTGTGCCCTTTTCTACCCAACTACAGGAGAAGGTGTGGGGTATGTGGCTTAGGGAAAGGCAGATCGGGCTTGAACTCTGCTCTGCTAAGCAGGTAATCTTGGACCATTTGTCTAATCTCTCTGAACATCACTTTCTAGTCTATAAAAAGGAGGTTACACAAGTTAGATTAGACAATGCTAAGGAAAGCATCAAGGACAGTGTCTCACACATAGAGAGTGCCTTTAAAAAAACAGGGCATTGGGCTTCCCTGGTGGCGCAGTGGTTGAGTCCGCCTGCCGATGCAGGGGACACAGGTTCGTGCCCCGGTCCGGGAAGATCCCACATGCCGCGGAGCGGCTGGGCCCATAAGCCATGGCCGCTGAGCCTGCGCGGCCAGAGCCTGTGCTCCGCAACGGGAGAGGCCACAACAGTGAGAGGCCCACGTACCGCACAAAATAAATAAATAAATAAATAAAAAATAGGGCATTATCATGATTATGTTTTAAGTTATTATTCATATTTATACCAATAATACCATGCCATTCTTTTGTAAACTAAGGTTAAAAAAGAATCTCAAATGCCAGGCTTTATATTGCAAAGAAAAAGGGAGGCAGGGGAAATGGGCCACTGGAGAGAAGCCATATAGAGAAAAACAGAAGAATATAAATGAGTCAAATTTCTTTGGGGCCCATTTAATTTCCCACTGACCTACTTTAGTGGACTTTAGGTCTCCTGGGGCCAATTTATATAAATGGCCCTAAGATGAAAAATATGAAAACATAGTCTATCTGAAATCAAGGGGATAAATAAACTCTTAAGGGTCCTTGGAGGTCAGTTTCTGGAGAAAAAGATGATGGGCTTCAGCTGCCTGGAGGGACCAGTGAAATCCACTCTGCTGTATGACAGCTGCAGGGCCAGCATCATACCTTTTGGAACAAGTCTTGCAATCCTCTGTTATCAACACTCTAGTGAGCCCAAGTTCTCCAATGTCCATAACAAGTTGATAATACTCTTCTAACAAAGCAAACAAAACTTCATAATGAAACACACTCAAAAATGTGTCTGGCACACACTTGACCACTAGGAATGACAGACAGAAGTATCCAGAATTGCTCCTGCCTTAATCGGCTACAGCTAGTTTAACGATTTTGTGTTACCTCTTCCAGAGAACAAATTTGACAATAACAACACAGACACAAATGCTCCTTGGACGGCAGAAGCTTTACTCTAAAATGGCCTTATTTAAAAGATGCTATTTTCTCTTCTACAGGTGTACTGGGATGCTCCTTTCTTATAAACCATCCTGACTAGAGAATAACACTAATAAAACAGGGCTGATCATAGAACTTCTGCCCTAATCTCTGTGGAATATCAAGCAATTGACAACAAAAGGAGTCATTTCCTCCCAGCCATCTGATCAAATGCTGCAGATATTCCTGGATTCTTGAATATTCCTAAATGTCCACAAACCAAACATCTTCCATACTGTGAAACATCATCATTATTTTACAGGTATCAAAATTACTTTGACCTTGAGGAAAAAATTAATAGCTTGCGGAAAAATAGAAACTTTTGTACATGGGTGGTAAGAATATAAACTGACCTAATTTTTTGGAGAAAAAATTGTCAATATCTATAAATGTTTTCTATTTTCAAACAGTCCCAGTAATTCCACTTCTAGCAATCTATCCTATGAAATACTCACAAGAATGCATGAAGACATTATTTGTAATAGCGAAAAAAACAATGTAACTGCCCTTCAATAGAGACAAAGTAAGTAACTGATGGCACCTGTCCTAAGGAATACCACATAGCTATTAAATAAAATGAAGTACAATTTATATGTCTTGACATGGAAAAAGTCAATTGCCGAAAATTACATTGTAGCATAACATGTATCACATGATTCTACATTAGCAAAAAATGAAAAATACATGAAAAACTACAAAAATCCTATGTGTACCTTCTGTATATATTTGTACTTGTACACAGAAAAGTCTGCAAGGCTTGAAAACCAACTATTAACAGTGGTTACTTCTAGAGGGTGAGTATTATGGGGAAGGGAAAAAGATATTCCATTTACTTTATATTATACACTTAAGTGTTGAATTTTATGAGCATGACCACATTTTAGTTTTTCAAAGAAAGGAAAAAAACCTTTTAAATGCCTCTTACCTTCAGTCAGCTGTTCCAATGATCCTCTAGAAAGAAGACTTGAGAAAGATTCTACGACTGTGCATTTTTTCCTGTATCTACAGAGAATAAGTAGAAGGGGAGATGGGAAGCAGAAAGAAAAAATAACAATAATCAAGCTTATTTTCATTTGACGTTCATTTCAGTCACAATCACACCAAAGAGTCACCAAAACAGAACTCTAAACCCTAAAATCTCTGGGGCAGAGACCACTCTTTTGAACCCTGCACACCCAGTTCCCAGCACTGGCATCCTGTGGGCATTTAATCCAAGCTTACTGAACAAGTGCATGGACAAACATACACATAACAGTCAATACTAACCCTGTCATGCACCTTCCCTGGTCTCTATGGCTAAAATCAGTATTTCTGTTGTTAAGGGTCACCTCGCCACGGGTTAAGAATGGAGTTAGAGTGAAGTGTTTTGAAACTCTCTTCCCTTGAGGGGCTGGAAACATAATTACAAGAGGACATAATTTCAGCAATGTTAAAATTCACCAATGCTAGTTAACAGCTTTTGCTAGGAGCTTCCTATACACACAAAGATTAAAATAAAACTGAAATTCCATGTCATTTACACCAAGCAAAAGTGTTTAAATATGTCCATTTAGACAAATAAAAGACTCCCTTCTGACTTTGCAGCATTTCCCACATAAAAGAAGAATGCTCCTTGCTTGGCCTGTCTTGGCACGTGGTACCTAAACGCTCCACCAGGGGGACCCCGAGAGATGCTTGCTGCTAATCCCACTGAAATCCTCAGCCCTTCTCGGTAGTTCAAGTACCAACAAGAAAAGTGGAAGATATAGATGCCACGTTTCCCGCCATCCCAGCATCCTACTATAACTCTTTAGTGGAAATATTTTTATCTCCCGTACATAAAACTACATGAGGCCAGGAACCTGTGATGCTCAAGTCCTTTTCTATAACCGTGGCCAACTTCCAACAGAGCTCTCAGTCAGGCTAACCGCATGCATTTTGTCACACAGACAGAAAGGTTTGTAGGCGTGTCTCAAGTATTTAATTACTCAGCTCATACTTTTGGCAAGTTTGTAAGGCGTCCTTCATGGCAGAAATGCCATTTTGGATGTCCTGTTGCTCGAAGGTCATGACGGCCTGCAGCACCACAATGGTACTGTAGCCCAAGGCATGGTACATGCTCTCCTTAGCCCTGGGGAGAACACGGAAATTACTACATTTCAATTCAACTGAAAAACATTCAGGTCTCATCTGAAACTAATCAAAAGAAATTCTAGTAAATCCATGAAGTGACTTTCACAGTAACGACTTTTACTCCTTCACCATGATCACTGAAATAATATGGACCATGAAAGACATGCCCTAAAGAACTCAAACTCCTGAGGACTTTCCAATTCAAGCCCACACAGGCAGCACGAAACTTTCCAGGTTGAAGCAGAGTGCGGCATATGCTGTTCCCTGTTTGAGCACAAGGGGGCAGCCTGCTGACTCATTTCCTAGAAAATGTTTCAAAGCAAACCCAATTTTTCCCAGTTGCACAAGAAGCAGTGTGCTGTCTTTTGCTCTGAAATAAGTGCTAAAATAAAGGCCACTGGAAATATAGTTTGTGACAGAGAAATTCTGATATGTTTTTTGAAAGGTAAGTCTTGTTTAAAATTATCCCCTCCCTTTCCCAGCCAGAGGCCACGAGGAAGCAAGATTTTTGCATTAAGTTGGGTCAGCCACAAAGGGCCCAGACAAAAATTCATGGTAGATCTCTTACCAAATCTAATCCCATTATCTGGGAATCCTGATTAAAGTTCTGGATAATTCAAATTATCAAGTTATCCGTTCGATTCTTAAGGACATTCAGTCTGATTGGATGGCACATCCCAGACTCTCAGGCTATGAAAACCTCACCATCTCTTTCCTCAAAACTTCTTAAGCTATGTTAATTAGTTATTTATAAGATCTACAATATTAATACATGGTTTTATTTTTAATTCAAATACACTTTTTAAATACTTTTTTTTTTGCTGCTCTGCAAAACAAACACAAGCCACAGTATACTTTCCCCCCAGGAAAGAGTCTAAACATCCTTTGGTAATTTGCAGTTAGTCCCAAACAGCGAGGGCACTGGCTATTCAAAAAAAGAAAAAAGAAAGAAAGAAAGATAAAGGAATAAGAGGAGCCCAAAGTGAATCAGCAATTGTGGTTTTAAAGCCCACATTTAAAAAAAAATTTTTTTACTGAAGTGTAGTTGATTTACAATGTTATATAAACCCCACATTTTAAACCAAAAGCTTCTCCAATGAGAAAAAAAAGTATTCAAGTGGGAAAAACGTATGTTTAACAGTGAAACATGCATAAAGATCAGAGAATATAAAACTTGACTAAGTGTAAGACTGTCATTTATTTTCATTCCATATTATGACCAGCTGGGTGTCAGTGAAGGAGAAAAAATGGAGACTTTTTGAATAAAAAACAAAGGAGACAGGCAGGCAGATTGAGAGAGGAGAGACAAGGAGAGAACAGGCAGAGAGAGAAAGAGAGGGAGGGAGAGAGGAAGACAGAGGGATATAGAGACAGAAGATGAAGAGAGACAGACAGAGAGAGAGGTCTGAAGGACCAAGAAGGACAGAAGGAAAAAGGCAGATACAGGCAAGGTAGAGCAGCGGTCCCCAACCTTTTTGGCATCAGGGACCAGTTTCGTGGAAGACAATTTTTCCACGAACAAAAGGGGTTGGGGTGGAGGGGTTTCTGGATGATTCAAGCACATTGATTTATTATGGTCTCTGTGCAGTCAAACCTCTCTGCTAATGACAATCTGTATTTGCAGCCGCTCTCCAATGCTAGCATCACCCCTCAGCTCTACCTCAGATCATGAGGCATTAGATTCTTATAAGGAGCACGCAACCTAGATCCCTCACATGCGCAGTTCACAGTAGGGTTCGCGCTCCTATGAGAATCTAATGCCACCACTGACCTGACAGGAAGCAGAGCTCAGGTGGTAATGCGAGCAATGGGGAGCGGCTGTAAATGCAGATGAAGCTTCACTCTCTCACCCGCCACTCACCTCCTGCTGTGTGGCCTAGTTCCTAACACCCCATGGACCAGTACCTGTCTGTGGCCCGAGAGTTGGGAACCCCTGAGGTAGAGGATGTGAGACAAGCATTGGGTGGACACAGCCCTGGGCAATTTCCGTAGGCCGGGGACTTCACCATCTATTTTATCATCTGTTCTTAACCTCTGAAATGCTAACTGATCGCAGCTCTTCTAAGTCTGAGAATTACCACAGCCTCAGTAGGCACATTAATTTCTAAGATTCAAAAGGCAATGACCAGAGTCACATCACCCTGCTCACCCTACAGACTCCTCAAAGGAATGAGAGTCCCACTCTGTGCCCACATAACTGTCTTGAAATTATTATCTGAGGTCTAAGCATCCAAGTAAGACACTGTGTTTGGAGGCACAAGGTAAGATTATTCCTGCCGATCTCTAGTCACACTGTACAGGTAGACAATGGGGTCAAAGTGAGGCCCAGTAAGAAGGCTAAGCATAGGTTTTGCTGCCACATCATCAGAATGAACAGGTACTATTAATTGAAATGAAACTGCCTAAGTGACTTATCACATAAATAGGGAGTCCCAGTAAGATTTTTATTATCTTAAATTTCTTTTTAGCATCTGAGATTACCATATTTTAGTTCTTCCCACACCCATTTCTTTTTTTTTTTTAATTTATTTATCTTATTTATTTATTTTTGGCTGCATTGGGTCTTCGTTGCTGGGCACAGGCTTTTCTCTAGTTGTGGTTAAGCAGGGGCTACTCTTTGCTGTGGTGTGCATGCCTCTCATTGTAGTGGCTTCTCTTGTTGCAGAGCACAGGTTCTAGGCGCACAGACTCAGTAGTTGTGGCTCCCGGGCTCTAGAGCACAGGGTCAGTAGTTGTGGCTCACAGGCTTATCTGCTCCGCGGCATGTGGGATCTTCCCAGACAAGGGATCAAACCCATGTCCCCTACATTGGCAGGTGGATTCTTAACCACTGAACCACCAGGGACGTCCACCCATGCCCATTTCAAAAGAAACTTTTCTCAATGATATTTAAGTTTCAGAGGAATAGCCATAAAAATATTTCACTGAAGAAAGCCAAATGAAGCTCTATGAAACTAATAAGATGACACTATTTGAACAAGTTATAGAAATTAAGAGAGGAGAAAGAATCAGAAATGCTCTACTAATTAAAGTTGAAAAGACAGATTTCTTAACTGGATATTAAAACTAATCAACATTTAGGGGTCTCAACCAAATTAGTTTATAAATATTCAGGAGGAAGTGCAGAAAAATTAACTGACAAGAATGATATCAGAGACAGAATCATCAAAAGCATCCAAAAAATATATTTTATCTAAAAGAAATAAAGTTAATTACCATGGTCGAAGCAATTCTAAGGCATCTGTAAATTTGTTACTTAGAAATAAGTTCAGTGCCATTGCACATTCTTCCAGGCCACTCCTGAGATCCACCTTGGTTGACAGTGACCTAAAAATCAAGAAAAAAATACACAGAATTTCTACAGTTTTTACTTTTAGCAAGTTGTCACAGGGAGAGAGAGAGTGTGTGTGTGTGTGTGTGTGTGCGCGCGCATGCGCGCGCACATGTGTACACTTTGGAGACAGAAGGACAGACTGGAATTCTGTCACTTACTAGCTGTGTCTCTAACCTCTGGGAACTTGACTTTCTCATCTGTAAAATGGGAACACCACCAACTACTTCACGGGGCTGTTTCGAAGATGGAATAAATTGACAAATAATGCTCATAGCAGGCACTTAGTAAATGACAGTCCCCCCATCACTCCGAAGATCACAAGTGTAGGAACTACATCTATTCATGAGTGGGAGCAGAGGTTATTTTGTTTTAGTTTGATTATGTAGGGGTAAGAATGTATGTCAGGGGAAAACTGCATTGTCTAAAATCTAAAGAAGACCCTGCCAGGTTATTTGTTTTTGATTCCACAGGAACTATCTTACAGCTCTGTAAATTATACGTAACTGATATCAATACAAAATAACTGTTATCTATAGACACGTGTTAAAAAAGAGACAACAGGCCCAGTCATCAAAAAAATCTACAAACAATAAATGCTGGAGAGGGTGTGGAGAAAAGGGAACCCTCTTGCACTGTTGGTGGGAATGTAAATTGATACAGCCACTATGGAGAACAGTATGGAGGTTCCTTAAAAAACTAAAAATAGAACTACCATATGACCCAGCAATCCCACTACTGGGCATATACCCTGAGAAAACCATAATTCAAAGAGACATGTGCACCCCAATGTTCATTGCAGCACTATTTACAATAGCCA